TTAATGGTGTGAAAGTAAGTTGTGAGATTTGGCGAGTAGGAAAAATGAAGATGTATCAGTAGGGCGCCTGCTTACCTGAAAAGAGCGCTGGAAATCGCCCAAAGGCCGATCATCGTTGCCGATGAAAATTGTGCAGTGACTGCAGCCACCTTCTTCTTTTGTAACATCGTTCGCTTAATACAAGGCCCAAGGTAGAAGATTGCTGAATGAAATTGTTGTAATTGCGGGGAGGAAGAGGTGAAACTTCCTCCTTACCAATGGAATACGAAGAGAATGAGGATGATTTAACGTTGTGGATGTGGTCTGGCGGGTCCTAGCAATAAATGTTTGAATTCATGGAAATAAGGAATGTATTTCTTTTGAACATTTGCCATAGTAATTGCAAAAGAGCAATGTTTTATCTGTAGTTACAAGGTGGGAAATGTTTCATCACCAGACTAGATATGGTAACAATTCTTGGTTTTCTCTGACTCTCGTAAAGATGGAGCATGGCAGTAGGCGTTAGGTACTTTCAAAGTGAGGGGAATTATTGTCAATAAACTTCTCAATAGATATTTAAGCCAGAAATTATTATATCAAAATTACTATCTCAAAATCTCAAAACAATATTCCATCAAAAGTACGGCCGGTCACACACACACACACACACACACACACACACACGGGTTGCAATTTTATTTTCGAAATGAGTATGGTCAGTGGCGATTCTACGTTGTGGCCAGATGGAAAGAATGCAGGTGGATTGAATGAAAGAATATTGGTGGATTGAATGGAAGAATATAGGTGGATTGAATGGAAGAATATAGGTGGATTGAATGGAAGAATACAGGTGGATTGAATGGAAGAATATAGGTGGATTGAATGGAAGAATACAGGTGGATTGAATGGAAGAATATAGGTGGATTGAATGGAAGAATACAGGTGGATTGAATGGAAGAATATAGGTGGATTGAATGGAAGAATACAGGTGGATTGAATGGAAGAATACAGGGTGGATACAGGTGGATAGAATGGAAGAATTGAATGGAAGGGTGATTGAATGAAAGAATATAGGTGGATAGAATGGAAGACAGGTGGATTGAATGGAAGAATACAGGTGTGTTGAATGAAAGAATATAGGTGACAGAATGAAGATTGAATGGAAGAATACAGGTGGATTGGATTGAATGGAAGAATATAGGTGGGATTGAATGGAAGAATACAGGTGGATTGAATGGGATTGAATGAAAGAATACAGGTGGATAGAATGGAAGAATACAGGGATTGGATTGAATGGAAGAGGTGGATAGAAAATGGAAGTGGTGGCTTGAATGGAAGAATATATAGGTGTGTTGGAATGAAAGAATATAGGTGGATAGAATGGAAGAATACAGGTGGAATACAGGTGGGATTTGAATGGAAGAATGAAGGTGTGTTGAATGAAAGAATATAGGTGGATAGAATGGAAGAATACAGGTGGATTGAATGGAAGAATACAGGTGGATTGAAGAAAGTGGATTGAAAGATGGAAGATGGAAGAATAGGTGGATTGAATGGAAGAATACAGGTGGATTGAATGAATATAGGTGGAAGAATACAGGTGGATTGAATGGAAGAATACAGGTGTGTTGAATGAAAGAATACAGGTGGATTGAATGGAAGAATGGATTGAATGGAAGAATAGGTGGATTGAATGGAAGAATATAGGTGGATTGAATGGAAGAATACAGGTGGATTGAATGAAGAGGTGGATTGAATGGAAGAATATAGGTGGATTGAATGGAAGAATATAGGTGGGTTGAATGAAAGAATATAGTGGAAGAAATAGGTGGATTGAATGGAAGAATACAGGTGGATTGAATGGAAGAATACAGGTGTGTTGAATGAAAGAATATAGGTGGGATGGAAGAATGGAAGAAGAATACAGGTGGATTGAATGGAAGAATATAGGTGGATTGAATGGAAGAATACAGGTGGATTGAATGGAAGAATGGATTGAATGGAAGAATATAGGTGGATTGAATGGAAGAATACAGGTGGATTGAATGGAAGAATACAGGTGGATTGAATGGAAGAATATAGGTGGATTGAATGGAAGAATACAGGTGGATTGAATGGAAGAATACAGGTGGATTGAATGGAAGAATACAGGTGGATTGAATGGAAGAATATAGGTGGATTGAATGGAAGAATTGAATGGAAGAATAGGTGGATTTGAATGGAAGAATATAGGTGGATTGAATGGAAGAATACAGGTGGATTGAATGAAAGAATATAGGTGGATAGAATGAAGAATACAGGTGGGATTGAATGGAAGAATACAGGTGGATTGAATGGAAGAGGTGGATTGAATGGAAGAATACAGGTGTGTTGAATTATAGGTGGATAGGAATGGAAGAATACAGGTGGGAATGGAGGTGGATTGAATGGAAGAATACAGGTGTGTTGAATGAAAGAATGGATAGAATGGAAGAATACAGGTGGATTGAATGGAAGAATACAGGTGGATTGAATGGAAGAAATATAGGTGGGATTGAATGGAAGAATATGGGAATGAAGAATACAGGTGGATTGAATGGAAGAATACAGGAATGGAAGATTGAATGGAAGAATACAGGTGGGAAGAATACAGGTGGATTGAATGGAAGAATATAGGTGGATTGAATGGAAGAATAAGAATGAAAGAATATAGGTGGATAGAATGGAAGAATACAGGTGGGAATGGAAGAATTGGAATGGAAGAATACAGGTGTGTTGAATGAAAGAATATAGGTGGATAGAATGGAAGAATACAGGTGGATTGAATGGAAGAAAGGTGGATTGAATGGAAGAATATAGGTGATTGAATGGAAGAATATGGGTGAATATAGATTGAATGGAAGAATATAGGTGGATTGAATGGAAGAATATAGGTGGGCTGAATGAAAGAATATAGGTGGATAGAATGGAAGAATACAGGAATGAATGGAAGAATACAGGTGTGTTGAATGAAAGAATATAGGTGGATGAATGGAAGAATACAGGTGGATTGAATGGAAGAATACAGGTGGATTGAATGGAATGGAAGAATACAGGTGGATTGAATGAATAAAGAATACAGGTGGATTGAATGAAAGAATATAGGTGATAGAATGGAAAGACAGGTGGATTGAATGGAATACAGGTGGATTGAATGGAAGAATACAGGTGGATTGAATGGAAGAATATAGAATGGAAGAATATGGATTGAATGGAAGAATATAGGTGGATTGAATGGAAGAATACAGGTGGATAGAATGAATGGAAAGAATGGAAGAATAGGTGGATGAAAGAATGGATAGGATTGAATGGAAGAATACAGGTGGATTGAATGGAAGAATTGAATGGAAGAATACAGGTGGATTGAATGGAAGAATACAGGTGGATTGAATGGAAGAATACAGGGTGTTGAATGAAAGAATATAGGTGGATAGAACAGGTGGATTGAATGGAAGAATACAGGTGGATTGAATGGAAGAATATTGGAATGAATGGAAGAATACAGGTGGATTGAATGGAAGAATAGGTGGATTGAATGGAAGAATACAGGTGGATTGAATGGAAGAATATAGGTGGGAATGAATGAAAGAAGAATATAGGTGGATAGTGGAAGAATACAGGTGGATTGATAGAATGAATGGAAGAATATAGGTGGATTGAATGAAAGAATATAGGTGGATAGAATGGAAGAATACAGGTGGATTGAATGGAAGAATACAGGTGTGTTGAATGAAAGAATATAGGTGGATAGAATGGAAGAATACAGGTGGATTGAATGGAAGAATACAGGTGGATTGAATGGAAGAATATAGGTGGATTGAATGGAAGAATACAGGTGGATTGAATGGAAGAATACAGGTGGATTGAATGGAAGAATATAGGTGGATTGAATGGAAGAATACAGGTGGATTGAATGGAAGAATACAGGTGGGCTGAATGAAAGAATATAGGTGGATAGAATGGAAGAATAGGTGGCTTGAATGGAAGAATACAGGTGTGTTGAATGAAAGAATATAGGTGGATAGAATGGAAGAATACAGGTGGATTGAATGGAAGAATACAGGTGGGTTGAATGAAAGAATAAGAATGGAAGAATAGGTGGACAGGTTGAATGGAAGAATACAGGTGTGTTGAATGAAAGAATATAGGTGGATAGAATGGAAGAATACAGGTGGATTGAATTGAAATGAATGAAAGAATATAGGTGGATAGAATGGAAGAAATAGGTGGATTGAATGGAAGAAGGTGGCTTGAAGAATACAGGAATGAAAGAATGGACAGGTGGGATTGAATGGAAGAATACAGGTGGATTGAATGGAAGAATACATGAATGAAAGAATACAGGGATTGAATGGAAGAATACAGGTGGATTGAATGGAAGAATACAGGTGGATTGAATGGAAGAATACAGGTGGGCTGAATGAAAGAATATAGGTGGATAGAATGGAAGAATACAGGTGGATTGAATGGAAGAATACAGGTGTGTTGAATGAAAGAATACAGGTGGATTGAATGGAAGAATACAGGTGGATTGAATGGAAGAATACATGAATGAAAGAATATGGATAGAATGGAAGAATACAGGTGGATTGAATGGAAGAATACAGGTGGATTGAATGGAAGAATATGAATGGAAGAATGGATTGAATGGAAGAATACAGGTGGATTGAATGGAAGAATATAGGTGGGGTGGATGGATAGAATGGAAGAATACAGGTGGATTGAATGGAAGAACACAGGTGGATTGAATGGAAGAATAGAAGGTGGATTGAATGGAAGAATACAGGTGGATTGAATGGAAGAATATAGGTGGGCTGAATGAAAGAATATAGGTGGATAGAATGGAAGAATAATGGAAGAATACAGGTGGATTGAATGGAAGAATACAGGTGGATTGAATGGAAGAATACAGGTGGATAGAATGGAAGAATACAGGTGGATTGAAAAGAATACAGGTGGATTGAATGGAAGGAATGGAAGAATGGAAGAATACAGGTGGATTGAATGGAAGAATATAGGTGGATAGAATGGAAGAATACAGGTGGATTGAATGGAAGAATACAGGTGGATTGAATGGAAGAATATAGGTGGATTGAATGGAAGAATACAGGTGGATTGAATGGAAGAATATAGGTGGGCTGAATGAAAGAATATAGGTGGATAGAATGGAAGAATACAGGTGGATTGAATGGAAGAATATAGGTGGATTGAATGGAAGAATACAGGTGGATTGAATGGAAGAATACAGGTGTGTTGAATGAAAGAATACAGGTGGATTGAATGGAAGAATACAGGTGGATTGAATGGAAGAATATAGGTGGATTGAATGGAAGAATATAGGTGGATTGAATGGAAGAATACAGGTGGATAGAATGGAAGAATACAGGTTGGTTGAATGGAAGAATACAGGTGGATTGAATGGAAGAATATAGGTGCATTGAATGGAAGAATACAGGTGGATTGAATGGAAGAATATAGGTGCATTGAATGGAAGAATACAGGTGGATTGAATGGAAGAATATAGGTGCATTGAATGGAAGAATACAGGTGTGTTGTATGAAAGAATACAGGTGGATTGAATGGAAGAATGCAGGTGGGTTGAATGGAAGAATATAGGTGGATTGAATGAAAGAATATAGGTGGATTGAAAGTAAGAATACAGGTGGGTTGAATGGAAGAATACAGGTGGATTGAAAAGTAAATAATGAAAAAGAAAGAAATCCAAACTGTTCTGCAGTTACATCAATCATCCTGCAAACATATTTTATCTTTTTCCACAAGTATGATTACGGATTATGATTTGCATAATCAAATCTCATTCATACATCATCAATTTAATCAGATGGTGGGCGGATAACTTTCAGTAATAACTACTAAAGCGACTGACTGATTTATAAAGCTTCAGGCTACGGTTTTTAACGTCAAACTTCCTAATCTTATTTAGATTTTATTTTTGATTATTTCCAAGTCCCTTTTTTAATCCAAGAAAAAGTTGAATTCTTCACTTAGAATCGTATTCTTTTCAAGTCACTAAATATAATCTTTTTTCTTTACTTCTTTTTTTTTTTTTTTTTTTTAACTTTTTATTATCCCCCTCTTCGAAAAGTAAAAAAAGAAAAAAGAAAAAAAAAACGCGGGCAAAAAAGAAAAGCTGAAAACTCACGAGACCAATTTGTCAAATTAATAACGCTCTCTCATCAACCGGATTTGCTCTGTGTCCGGTGAAGACATTCGGGGGGATTTATATTCTCTGAACGGATTATCCTGTTATTTAAAAAGCGTGTATCCATTCCTACCTACGCCATGCATGCATATACACACAGAGACATGCGTAAACACACACACACATACACATACATTTACTCAGATTGACGCAATGAGAATCACGCGTATACGCGCGTACGTACGCACGCACAATTATTTAGAGAAGCAGCGTGAGAAACACATGAGGTTGGCGTGAAAAAAGTGTAGGCATATAATTTAATTCACTTAAATCTCTTTCTTATTCTGTCAATCGATCCATCTTTAGCTAGTTATATATATCGATCTCTATCGGTTTATTCATATTTTGCTCTGTCATATACTGCAAAACCAATACACCAACGCACACATAAGTAATTCTTTAAGAGGGAATATCAATTAATGTCTTTAGTCTCATTATGAAAAAGAATTTAATTAACAAAAAGAATATTTACTTTTCAACATAATTTCCCTATAAATGCCGTTGTTTCAATAGTGGATTTTAATCATATCGAACTAAAAAATTAAGTAAGATTCCAAATTCAGTAGAACCCTTACTGATTTACATATATATATATATATATATATATATATATATATATATATATATATATATATATATATATATATTCCAACTAAAGTGTTTTTGGGCGGGTGGTGGCAATTGACAAACGCTGACAACTGGTGGCTAATGTATTTATTCCTCATCAAGTTACCAAGATTCTATATGGGCAGCATATACACATGCACTGTACATACTGACCAAAGTCACCTAGGAGTACGGTACATATGTATATTAAAATATGCTATATATATATATATATATATATATATATATATATATATATATATATATATATATATATATATATATATAAAACAAAATGAAAACCTGTCATGCCTATGGCTTTCGTTCCTTGAGGAACTTTATCAAGGCAAGTGTAGAAATCTTTATTTAGTAACCTGTCCAGAGAGGAATAATGTGGAAAAATAAAATAATGTTAAGATTTAAAATGTTGAATTAGAAAAGGCACTAAAATAATCTAATACAATTATTAGTTATAAGAAAGACAAACTCTGCTTGATGCGAACTGATGTAATTTTTCGGTCTAAACGAACGTGACGTAATTTTATTGATATTTTTCATGTATTTTTATTTTATTTTGTTTATTTGTTTAATTAATTTCTTTTAAAGGGCAATTTAAAACTTATGCTCATCCTTGAGGAAGAACCATTTCTTTTAAGAAAGGAGATATTTGAAAAATTTAAGACGTAATATTTTGTCAAGAATAAATAATTGCATTCAGCTTTTATTTTTAGATCGAAATTGTAGTTGAAATTGTTTCCTATGTATAACTAACGCATTGGCTAAATTCTTATATAGATCTTTCCTATGTTCATAAATATACTTTTTAATTTCTGCAAGTTTCATCAACATATTGACAGTTATTAAGTTTATTCTACTTCAGTATTATGGAGATTTTCGGTTCTGATCATATCCATAACAGTTTCATATGTAATTGTAATTAATAAGATTGCATATATTATTAATAATAGATGTTAAAGATTTGGTAGGTAATATTAATATTTTATTTTTATCTGATTATTATTGTTATTATTATTATTATTTTTATTTTCTTTGATTTCTGGCGTTTACACATTTCTTTCCGGGTCCCGCCCAGGGACCTAAGGTTAGAAATGCCGTCATGACACTTTCCACTGATCAAAAAAAAAAAGAAAAAAAATTACATCGATAAAGCCCTTCGTAAGGTGTGGGCTGTACTTGTCAGAACAATTTTCTGTATCTCCTTGAGGCATGGACTTCCAGGAATCCCTTCAATTAGTCTACTAGAATCTTTTCCAACCAGTCCTAGGGCTCCAACTACAACAGGGATTGTTGATGTTCCCATATGCCACATTTTTGATTTCTATTTCAAGGTCCTTGTACTTTGACAACTTTTTGAATATCTTCAAAGATACATTGCAGTCGGCAGGGACTGCCATATCAATAAGGAGGCACCGTTTTTGTTTGTGGTCTTTAATAACAATATCTGGGCGGTTGGCCTTGATTGTTCTGTCAGTGTGTATTGTGTAGTCCCATAGAATTGTAACAGGTCCTATCTCTGTAACCGGGTCTGGGTGGTGTTCATACCAGTTTCTTTCAGTTTTCTTCCCATAGAAGTTGCAGATTTTCCAGTGCAGATATTGGCCCACTCTGTCATGTCGGGTTTTATATTCAGTTGATGCCAACACCGTACAACCTGCTACAAGATGATCAATCGTTTCTGGATATTTATCACAGAATCTGCATTTTGGGCTGACACAATATTTTAGTATATGTGCTTGATAATTCCTAGTTAAAACCTTCAGTTTCCGCTTTCAACCCTGCACTACGTAGCCACTGATGGGTACGGGTTTTGTCTACGTCAGCTTGTTTGGTACGGGCAGAGTATTGGCCATGAAGCGGTTTATCTTGCCATCGCTTCTGTAACTGGTCTGTTGCATTCGTCTTAGCTATCTTTTTTAGGTATTTTGCAGTTTCAGCCGGTGTATTGTGCTGTAGTTGCATCTTACGCCCATTTGGAACTCCATTTTGAATTTGTTGGCTTCCTTCATTACGGAGTAGAGACGCTTACTACTTTCATGTTCCTTGACGCATACCATCATCCAGTCTTCTGTAGTTTCCAAATATCTTTGGAGGCCAATTGTTGTAGTTTTGTAGGACAGTTCTAGTTGAACTAATCCTTTGCCTCCTTCGGATCTGGGCACATACAGACGGTCGACATCAGCTTTGGGATGATGCATGCGATAGCAAGTGAGTAGCTTTCTCGTTTTGGCATCCAGTCGCTTAATTTCAGCTATGGTCCAGTTAAGGACATTAAAGCTGTATTGCACCACAGGGACAGCCAATGTGTTTATGGCTGATATCCTGTTTTTTTGAGTTCAGCTCAGTATTTAGTACCAGACGTACACGCCTGTAGTATTCTTTTCTTATTTTTTCCTTCATTTGGGGGTGTTGTATGCCATCTCCTTCGCTAATTCCTAGGTACTTATAAGCTTCACCATGCTCCAGTTCCCTAATCTTTGTGACAAAATCTAAATCTATTAAGGGTGTTTCTGTAATTCTACCTTTCTTGAAAGTTACTTTTGCACATTTATCTAAACCGAATTCCATACCTATGTCGTCACTGAAGTATTTTACAATATTGAGGAGGCCTTTCAACTCATTGTCGTCTTTGGCAAAGAGTTTGAGATCATCCATGTCGAGTAGGTGATTGAATATTTTCTTATTTACTTTGTAACCATAGCTACTGTTGTTCAGTTCATGTGTAAGAGGGATTAAGGATAAACAAAACAGAAGGGGTGACAGAGAATCTCCTTGAAAGATTCCACGTCGGATACTCAGACGGTTGGATATGGCAGTGCCCCCGGTGTGACTAAGGTATAGTTTGGTGTTCCACATTCCCATGCTGTGCTTAAGGAAATTTAATACCACAGGGGAGACTTTGTACATTTCAAAGTCTTAAGGATCCAAGAATGTGGAACACTATCAAAGGCTTTACGATAATCAATCCACGCTGCACTTAGGTTCCTGCGTCGTCTCCTGCAATTTTCCAGGATCATTTTATTTATCAGAAGTTGATCCTTGCAGCCATATGAACGTCTTCTGCATCCCTTCTGTTCCAGCGGGAGAGTGCTGTTTGTTTCGAGAAAGGAATAAGTACGGTTCGTCAATACACACGTGATCAACTTATACGTTGTGGAGAGACATGTTATCGGTCTATAATTTTTCGGGTCGTCTGTTTCAGTTGTTTTTGGTATGAGGTATGTCATACCATCAGTAATCCATTCCGGGGTTTCATAGGGATTATTTACAAGCGTTGATAATGTTTTTGCAAGAATTTCATGGGTAGATGTGAGATGATACAGCCAGAAATTGGGCAACTTGTCACTTCCTGGGGATTTCCACTTTTGGGATTTCGTTAGAGCTTGCCTAACATCATCTGTGGATATATTTTCCCATTCTTGCAGAGGTGTATCCAGCATTCGTTCTTCTTCACGCCGTATCCACTCTGCATTTGGGTTATACTCCTTTGGGATGCTCCAGATATTTTCCCAGAATGTCTGTACATTATCAATCGATGGTGGCCTTTCGACATGTATAGGTGTTTTTCCAATTTCCCTGTAAAGTTTCTTAAGATCTGTTCGGAATATTTTATTTTGGCGATAGAACCTACAACGTTTTTCGTATCGTCGTGTTCTCTGCGCCTTCAGCTGAAGTTTCTGCTTCAGCATTTCCTTGATTGATGGAATATCAATCAGGGATTTAATGTTATATTTCCGCTTGATCTTTTTGAATTTACGTGTGGAAATATTAGGGTTTCTGGTGAGCTCATCTAATATAGAAAGCTCACATCTGATTTGTTGTATTTCTCGAGTCAGTTTGGTTTTCCAAACTGGTTCTCTGTGTCTGTTAATTTTATTTATTGTCTTGACTCCAAGCTTCCGAGTCGCTGCTAAAGCTGTGGCGTATATGACGTTGTTAACTTCTGTGATGTTTCCCGGGGGTTTATCTGTTAACAGTGTTTCCAGAGCAGCATTGTATATTTTCACGATGTGCCTGTTGGAGTTCGTCATATGGATTTTCGGGAGCTGGTCTCTGTCTGACAATTGTGTGAATGTTACTCTGCTGAGCACTTGGATGACGTCATTTTTCGCTTCGGTGATTTCAGCTCCGTGGTTTTCAAGGAATTTTAACTTATTGTCACTGAAGATGACTCCAGGTGCAGTTTCTGGAAGACTGTAGGTTGTGTTTAAGGTAGAGTCTTGGGTTTCATTTCCTGGGAGATTATTTCGTATTTCATTCTCTCCAGCGTCCACCCCATACTCTGTTGCATTCCTTATTTCTACATTCGTCTCAATAGAGTTTGAGTGATGGGTCATAGTATTTTGTCTTATATCTAATTTTATCTTATCTATTTCTGCCTGTGAGAGTCTGTTGTTTCGCATGATGTCCCTACGGACATTGGCAAGCATGTTTGGATTAAGGTTAGGTCTTACATCATTTCCCACCGTACTTCTCCATATTTGGTATGTTTGATTGGTGGTGTACTTTGCTGGGTTTTCGAGTGCAGTGAAGAAGGATGTCATGACTTGTCGATACTCTTCGCGGCTCCATTTCGTTCGTTTACTTTTTATTAGTCGATTTTGCATAGAGTCACTTGGTCCAAGGTTGGCAATAATCCGGTTTTGGTGACCAAGTGTCTCTTCGTGTGTGGAAGAGTTTGTTCCAGTGGCAGACTTATCGTTCTCAGACTGGTTCCTCTCTGAGTGACGCGGCCCTTGTTGCCCCGGTTGACGGCCGATCCGGTATGAAATATTATTCGTATTCATTGAAATTAGTAGAGATGCGTTTTAACCTTGACCGCCAAGGGGTAGTTATGTTCAGATTACCAGCTGTAGGGCGAATCTCGAAGAAGATCCAGGAGCACGCCCAAACAATGAGATTGTGAGTTTATTGATATAAAGAGAGAATATTTAAAAAAAGATTGTGTGGTATTCAGTGGGGTAGACTATAGTAAGTTTTAACAGTATAAGTCCGAGTGACCACTCCAGGGGGGAATAAGTGCATTTTAGTATATAGACTTAAAAAAATAAATACAATATGATCCCTGTCAATGCGGATACATACACATGTAAATTATATATATATATATATATATATATATATATATATACACATACGGGAGAGAGAGAGAGAGATAGATATTAGTAAACATGTACACATATACGCAACGACAGAGATTTGGGATGCTTAAAGTAAGAGAGAAAAAGTGAAAAATAAAGTGAAAAATGGACACGGATGTCCGCTTAAGGTCGGGAGGGAGGACCGAAAATTTGAAATATACGTTAAAAAAAAAAAAAAAAAAAAAGAAGTGGGAGCTGAAAGGGAAAGAATTAGCTGGAGTCAAAAGAATTTACAATCATAGCAAACTACACGAAAAGTAACATTTAAAAGAATAAATGCTTCATTTACCGTTTCTTCCTACATCGGAGCATGGCAAAAGTGACCTTCCACAAATGTTCAGTTTTCCGTCGCCAACGACAGATAATTATCAAATTTTATGGGGTAGGCTGGACTTATACTACAGATTGGTAGGGGGGTGCGCTGGATATCAAAGAATTCATTAAACAAAGGGGTAGAAGCAAAACAGTAAAAGTTATACTTTTCCGGTCATCTCTCAGCCTACTAGCCGCTAAAAGATACATTTTTAAATTTTCACTCAAAGACATGATAGTCAAAGGGCAGAGCATACGAAAATCACACCCGAAGCCATGAAAAAGGTAAAGATAAATACAATATGATCCCTGTCAATGCGGATACATACACATGTAAATTATACATATATATATATATATATACACACACAAACACACACATACGGGAGAGAGAGAGAGAGAGAGAGAGAGAGAGAGAGAGAGATAGATGTTAGTAAACATGTACACATATACGCAACGACAGAGATTTGGGATGCTTAAAGTAAGAGAGAAAAAGTGAAAAATAAAGTGAAAAATGGACACGGATGTCCGCTTAAGGTCGGGGGGGACCGAAAATTTGAAATATACGTTAAACAAAAATTATTATTATTATTATTATTATTATTATTATTATTATTATTATTATTATTATTTCTGTTGTTATGCTTTTATTTTTGCATTGTAAATGAAATAGTAAGGAGGTTTTAAAAGTATTTCCTTTTGAAGGTAAATATTGGGAACTACAGATTCTTAATGCTCTGAAATAACAATCTATAATTATTTTGAATTTTATGCTATTTCCGTGGTAAAAATAATAGTTAATGAGGTCATTTTTTTTTATTGATTTTCTGTAAACTTTTAGTTGGATGTCGTTATTGGTTCTTCTTAGCATAATACATAGGCAAGGGCAATGCGTTATTAGTTTCGGTTTCCAATGTAAAACCTATTGTACTTTCAGTGCTATTAATTCTGTTTTCAAAGTCTGGTAAAATTTTGGCATGGGGATATATTATTAGAGTGTCATCTATGTATGTATCATCTATCGGTAAACCAGATTTTTGATAAAAATTGTTAACGAAGGAAAAGAAAAAGTACTGGTGCATTTTTATGATCTGGTATGGGTAGAGGTAATTTTATTTTATTTTTTTTTTGTAAATTTAAATATTTGTTTACAGGAACATTTGTATAGAAAGATTTTATATCTGAACTGGGCATGCATTTATCTTTTCTATATGTTTTTAATATATATATATATATATATGGATACACACTCACACACATATATATATATATATATATATATATATATATATATATATATATATATATATACATACATACGGTGCGTAATTATAAAGCCAGCTGAATTTTATCTTTAAACTTTAGCAATTGAGATAATTTTTTAATATTTTGTATATTATTATATATTATTAATAATCTGAAAGTTTCAAATAATTACTATGAGTAGAAAATCAGTTATTGTGAAAACGATCAGTGCATAATTATCAGGCCATTAAAAAAAATTTATTACAAAAGTGACAAACATAAAAATTTATCGAAATTAATATTTTTTTTTTTTTTTACCATGATTGGCTATTACTTCAAACTCTCTATTTTTCATAGAATAGAATAAAACTTCCGAGTGTCATTGGTTAATTGAATCCAAGGCTTTCAAATTTTCACTTTTGAGCTCTTCTTGTTATTAAATTGACGCACATTCTTGTATACTCGTCTAACCAATATCCCCCTAAATTTCTCGATAGGATTGGGATTGGATGAGCTGGCAGGCCAATCCATAACATTGATTCAGTTAGTTTGAAACCACTCGATAGTGGACTTGGCTTTGTGAACAGGAGCGCTGTCTTGCTGAAATACCCAATTTCGACCACCATCTTTTTTTTTCATAAGACAAGAGAGTAGTACACAACAAATTCTGATAATCCAAAGCATCAAGTCTTGTATCAATGAAAACAGTTGAAGTTTTGCCTTTGAATCCGAATGCTGCTCAAATTATAGCACTCCCTCCTCTTTGCACACGCTTGGAAAAGACCAACTTCTCCTTTCTAAGGTCATGCCAATAATAAGATAAACCATCTGGACAGTCCAAATAATTTTTTTCATGGGAAAATGCCACACCTTCCCATTGCTTGTCCCAAGTCATATGAGCTTTGACCCAATTGAAACGCTCTGACATATGATGCTCGTTCAAACATGGAGAATTAATAAGCTTGCTATAACTGAACTCAGATAATCTGTTAAGTTCTCTCCAAACCGTCCAGCGTAAAACACCCAATTCCAGAATTGCCTTGATCTTGGGACAAAATGTGACGGCATTGCTTGCTTCTTTGTTGATCGTTCTGATATCCCTGTCACTTAATTTCTTGCTTCTTCCGGATCTTTTCATGGCTCCATATTCTTCCGTCTTTGATAAAAAGTTGCTAATAATCGTTTTCGAATGCTTAAAGGTAATTTCTCTACTATTAAAATTTTCATTTTCGAATGCAATCATTTGACTTTTTCAGATTCATATAATTTTGTACACAAATTCTAGTGAGTTATTAATAATAATTTATAAAAAAATTAAGCGATTGTTGATTTGAATTATTTTAACTTGTAGTGCTCTTTTAAAAAAAAAATAGCCTTATAATTATGTACCAATCGCTTTTCGAGTTTTTTAATAATTTTACAATAAGTGATTTTCTACTTATAACAATTATTTGAAAGTTTCAGAATATTAATACGATATAATAGTATATCAGATATTAAATTATTTAAAGATTAAAGATAAAATTCAGCTGGTCTTATAATTATGCACCGCATTATATATATATATATATATATATATATATATATATATATATATAATATATTATAATAATATTTTTTGTTTAAAATATGATTCCTTCTGCTACATAAGAGTTCTCATGTTTCAAAAACGAGAGCCGAAAACATCCAAATAATTATTAAAATTAAGTTGGATTGTGGTGTTTAGTCCCGTTTCATCTTCAAGCGAAATTTTAGGAATAAGCTATTTCTCGGTTTACGTGTATTTTTAGGCATGGTCCGTTAGAAAATTCGTTATTGTGGGAGTGGCTAGACTATTTTCCTTCGTTAAGTGGTCAGAGAGTTAATTCTTATCAATAGATTCATCATCTTCTAAGAGGTTTTGCTAAGGTTGGGTAGGGTATCTATTTCAAGGCTAATGTTTGCGGTCACCCTTTAGTTGGTTCCCAGTGAGGGATATTTTTATGGTGCGCCTACAATCCTTATGTGTCTGGGAAATTGTCTTTTATTATTGTCCATCTGATTATCTATTTATTTATTTGTTTATTCAAGTGGGTGTTTTATATACAGATCGTATTGCACTGAATTTCAATTTGTTTTTTTTTTGTTTTTTGACGACTACAAAAAGGGTTTTTCCTATTTAATGATTTGGCTAAACTTTTAAGAATTTTACTTAGCTATGGGATTTTTTTTTTTTTTGGTTAATTTTTTTTGGGATAATTATTTGGATGATTTCGGCTCTCGTTTTTGAAACATGAGAACTCTTATGTAGCGAAGGAATCATATTTTTAAACAAAAAAATATTTTTATAATATAAGCTCTACTTCTGTATGGAGCACTGTCTTCTTAAAAATAAAAACAAAAATACTAAGGAACCCCGGATTATGCACCCAACGTGTTCTTTTCTATTTTCTGCATACCTACACACTTATATATATATATATATATATATATATATATATATATATATATATGGATACACACTACAGAAAAAATCACCGTAAAATAACATATTTCTGTACTTTTAAAGTAAAAGATAAAATTTCAATAATTCCAGTGTATTTGCTTTTATTTTGAAAAAAATAAGCACTTAACTGTAAAAACTATCATACAACAATATCATATTTTATTTTCGTCAATAAAACCAGCAACTGCTTTAATAACTGTTTTAAAAATTCTTCGTATCCTTTTCAATACTTTTTGAAAAAGAGTAAATGGCAGACATTCCCAAGCCTACTTTCACTTTTTGGGTATTCTCTTTGAACCATCCTCTACAATTTATTCCATACAAATTCAATGGGAGAGAACAGGAAATTAAGGCGGCCAAATCATAATTTCCTTCCTTTTTTTGGTTCGAGGTTATTTTGATATAATTTAGAAGAGTGTTTTGGATTTTTGTCTTGTTAAAATGTGAATTCTTTTGTAATTATGTGTAAACTAGATGGTATAACATGTCTTTCCAAAATCGAATGATCTTGTCTTTTTCAAGGTTCATTTTACCTGAATAAAATATCTTTTGGTAATCTGAATAAGTCTACTGAATGCTTAATGATGAAAACAAAATATAATGTTTCGCATACAAAATATGCAGAATTTAGCGAAAAATGTATTGCAGATGGACGAATCCGATTTTGAAAATTTTGGTAGTAAGTTTGGGGCCCTGGAGAAAGACTGAAAAATGTATTGCAGATGGACGAATCCGATTTTTGAAAATTTTGGTAGTAAGTTTGGGGCCCTGGAGAAAGACAGAAAATGTATTGCAGATGGACGAATCCGATTTTGAAAAATTTTGGTAGTAAGTTTGGGGCCCTGGAGAAAGACTGAAAAATGTATTGCAGATGGACGAATCCGATTTTGAAAATTTTGGTAGTAAGTTTGGGGCCCTGGAGAAAGACTGAAAATGTATTGCAGATGGACGAACTGATTTTGAAAATTTTGGTAGTAAGTTTTGGGGCCCTGGAGAAAGACTGAAAAATGTATTGCAGATTGATTTTGAAAATTTTGGTAGTAAGTTTGGGGCCCTGGAAAAGACTGAAAAATGTATTGCAGATGGACGAATCCGATTTTGAAAATTTTGGTAGTAAGTTTGGGGCCCGGGAGAAAGACTGAAAAATGTATTGCAGATGGACGAATCCGATTTTGAAAATTTTGGTAGTAAGTTTGGGGCCCTGGAGAAAGACTGAAAAATGTATTGCAGATGGACGAATCCGATTTTGAAAATTTTGGTAGTAAGTTTGGGGCCCTGGAGAAAGACTGAAAATGTATTGCAGATGGACGAACCGATTTTGAAAAAATGGAGAAAGACTGAAAAATGTATTGCAGATGGACGAATCTGATTTTGAAAAGAGTAAGTTTGGGGCCCTGGAGAAAGACTGAAAATGTATTGCAGATGGACGAATCCGATTTTGAAAATTTTGGTAGTAAGTTGGGGCCCTGGAGAAAGACTGAAAAAATGTATTGCAGATGGACGAATCCGATTTTGAAAATTTTGGTAGTAAGTTTGGGGCCCTGGAGAAAGACTGAAAATTATTGCAGATGGACGAAAGATTTTGAAAAAAGTAAGTTTGGGGCCCTGAGAAAGACTGAAAATGTATTGCAGATGGACGAGATTTTGAAAATTTTTGGTAGTAAGTTTGGGGCCCTGGAGAAAGACTGAAAAATGTATTGCAGATGGACGA